CCTAAAGGATTCTATGATTCTAAACATTTCCACTGAATTTCAGAAAAAAGAAAACCTCACGCTTGAAACACCAATGTGTATCTACTGTATCAACTAGTGTATTAGAGATGCCAACAAATAAAGTAACTGAAAAACAAAGGTTAAACAATCTTATATTTACTGAAAGGAAGCAAAATGGGTTATGTTTTGAACACCCACAGAAAACAACAGTAAGAGGCTGGGTAATGAACTATGTCCTAAGCACAGCAGTCTGCAGATGCTCATGTATATTTTGATGTCTTAGTTCCTAATGCCCGAGACTTACTTCTGTAGAAAGAAATTAGGTAAAACCTTCAAAACATTACTGACTTCATAACTGAAGAGTACAACATAGTTCAATAGTATCTCCAAAAACATATAAATCAAAAAACCCCACACATACCTTTAATCTGTGTGTCATCTACTGCTTTATATTCTGTGCTCTTTATTGCAAGTTCTACACCATATCCAGATAAATACATTTTTCTGGGACTTGGTTTCTGTTGGATGATATTAAAAGAACAGAAAATGTAACTTAAAAAATTGTTATTTATAGGAGATGACCAATATGTAATACTGGAACTTGAAAATTTTATGACAGTCATAACTTAAATTCTTTCAGATTGCAATTCAAAGCACCAAAGGCTACACCAAAGGAATGACAAGAGTCATGTGAGGTATACTGACAGTCCATTGAGAAGGTGTGTAACAGAAAGGACAACTCACGTTCTAAACTGTTATTAATTCCTTTGTATATTTGCCAAAGCTCCAGTATGTTAGGATGAAATTATCTTATCTCTGCACCAGACTGATTATTTTAAAAAGTTTTGGTGAAAGAGTTAATCCCTTTCTGCAAGGAGGATTAAGAAAACTTATTAAGATATCACTGCTAAAACTAGGTTGCTTATTAAAAACAAATAACAAGTATTTCTAACTTTGGAGTGGAAACTTTCAATAGCGTAATTACTGAGAGCATATTTATTCCTGAAAATGGGCCTTAATTTGTCAAAAATGTATGAAAATCCCATTCAAAAATGAATGAAAATCCCCTCTCCGAAATGCAATTTTCACATGCACAGCAGCAATACCTTGAAAGCCGTTCACCTTTACCACACAATTTTTAAGAATCATTCTGTATTGAGAATTCTCCAGCCCACGGCTGGAAACCCAGCAGGGTTGGGGGTTTTCTCTGTTGGTCCTCCAAGGAAATCTCAGTGCAGAGAGATCTCTTAAGCAGTCTCAATGATACTGGCAAAAAATGACAGCAGAAAGACTGTACCTCTTCTGCTCTCAATGCTCCCTCTTCTGGCATTTAAGGTAAAAAAAGGATGGAGAATCCGGTTCAGTGGGAACCAAAGAATAAAAATGGAGGTTGTGAGGAAGAAAAGGGAAGAGCAGTCTGAAGAAAGAAAAAGTGCACGAAGGACAACAAAAAATTTGGGGGGGGCCATGCTCTGGTGCATAAGCTGCTCAGAGCAAGGAGACTGTAGGTATTTCATTGAAATAAAAGTGCATAAAAGAACATGAAGTTCAGTAAAAACTCTACCCCACTAAACTCAATTTAAGACTGGTTTCCTCAAATTCTTTACTTCATTACTGTGAGCAACCAACATAAAGTCATCCACAAACTATGCATCTCATCTCCCTGATGCCTGGTCTACAGGAATCACAGCAACCTTTCACTCCACCAGATTATTCTTGTATTAGTCACACTATTTGAGAGCTGCACTTGGAATATAAATTCCAAAAACCTTCCAATAACCAAAACTTGGGACAACATAGTTCCACGTACTGGGTGTTTGGTTTTTTGTTTTGTTTTTCAGGGAGAAGAATAAGTTCAGAACAGCATTCAAAGACATTAAAATACTGACACTGTGGAATACAAGCACTGAAAAAATGGTCAGTGATGTCGACTGTGATAGCTGATACTGCTGTACTACAATGAATAGATGAGATTATACAGAGAGTATATAAAATTGTAAGTATGATTAGTTATTTTTCAACTTGATTCTCTACTCTACTTCCCATTTCTCTAATTCTTGTTACTAATACGTTCAGTCTGCTGCACCAAGATGCACACAAGATCATCATAATAGGTTCAAAAACTAGACACATAACTGAAAAAAGATATTTCAAGATCAGTCAATGGTGCAAACAGCATTTGCATGCAGCATTAGAGATTATCATCATGTATTTCCAGCTTCAAGATTTGTATTAGGTGAATCACTTCACTTAGAAGGTTTTAAAATTAGAATATGTATTGCACATGATTTAGGCAAATGCAAAAATAAATGTAGAAAATGTGTTTGGTCAAAAAGCAAGAAAAATAAAGAGAAGATAACAGTTTCCTGGACCAATGTTCATTTGAGTTGCATACCTGAATGTAATGCCGGAGAACATAAACAATTTCCTCCCTTTGCGCCTTCTCGGATAGAATTTTGTGGAATCTGACGAAGTCTTTTGTACCCATTTCTGCATAAAGAATAACCACTGGTCCATCCTCTTTGAGAGCTGGGAATTTATGATCTCCCTTAAAAAGATATGGCCTGGGTCTGGTTTTAAAAAACAAATGATTGTGATACTATATATTCAGAACAGAAATTAAAGCAGTGGCCGTTTTTCTACTTCATGATTGAAAAAACTAGTAAGGGTTTGTATGCTATAAGCATAAAAGCTATGTTAAAATAATTACAAAATAATCATGAATGCTCACAAACAAACGTAGAAGACCAAATCTGCAAACTGAAAAAACTGCATCAGTGATAAAGACTGTATTTGATCAAATCACAACGGAAAGAGCAAATGAAAAGCACAGCACTGAGATTTTCTGCAAGTCGGTTACAGCTTGAAGCTTTCAATTTAAGCTTTTAATTTAAGTGATGCATCACATCTATTAGAGATGTGCAGAGCAATCAGTGAGTAACCGAGTAGCAGAGGGATACTCAGTGAATTTTGAGCAAGCTACTAACACAGAGGGAAACTACCTGGGTTTATGCATCTTTAATAACCATCATGCTCTGTAAATTTAGCTAATTTTGCAAATGTTGTCAGCCTACTTATGCTCCTTATTGGAAGCCATGTCTCGCAAAGTTACACTTTTATACCTGCAATGATTTCTTAGGTGACTTGCAAACAACTTCTGGGATGGGAAAGATGGAAAAGTAACAGAAGATTGAGTAATACACTCAAGGTGCTTATTATTGATGAGTACACTTCTTTGTCAAAGTTGCCTTTGCACAGTCCCACTTGGAAGGCTGGTAAACTCCCTCCGAACCTCTCCAAGACAAGTGCAGGAACACTAACCCAACAGCCACTACAGAAACGTCTGTAACAGATGCTCATTGGAAAGTCATACTGGAAAGGGCTGAGCAGAACTCCCCATGCCACGCCTTCCGTGATGCAAGGCTTGGGAATATCTTTAATATAAAATCAGAGAATAATTTGCACTGCAAAGGACCTTTGGAGGTCTGTTCCAAACCCTCACTCCAAGCAGGGCCAATTTGTACGAGGTTATGCAGGACCTTAGCTTCAGCATCCTGTGTAAGCTTGGTAGGTGTGCAATCGAAGACCACATTTCTGAGGCAGAGACAAAGGAGGAGCCTGGTTTGAAAATTAACTTGGAGCATGCAGCCCAGTGTCACAGATGTATCAGGCAAGTTTTCCCCATCATCACAGGACAAGACAAAGTAGATGTCATCGAGAAGTCTGAACCAACTCTTGAATGACTAAGGTCTCTTCAAGAACAGATCCAGATTTGCCCCAGTGAGAGCATACATACGACATGTGACTTGTGCAATCTCCTTCTCATATCTGGAGACAAGAATGGCCACTTCAGTCACTTATACAGAGTTGAAAACCTAAATTGAGGGAGCTTCTCATTCCTTAACTAGTCACTTAGGTATAGCAGAATGACTCGTGCTCTCAAAAGGTGGCTATCAAGTGCTGCCGTGACTTTCTTGAACACTGACAGTCTCAAAGGAAGCTTTTTATACTATAATGAACATGCTTCAATAAAAAATTAAGTGCTGCAGTGAAGTAACACTGCAGAGGACTACCATAATGACCTTGGATTGGAGAATTAAAGCATTCAGCCCTTGTAAATCCAAGATAAGCTCCATTCTCTGTTTCTCTTTGACAATGAATAGTAGTCAGAAGGAATAGATTCTCTCGCTCTTAGAGCTGAAAGCTAATTAATTAACTTCCTCTGTAAGAGATTCTCATGAGAAGGCTGCATGAGAGACAAGGAATAGCAGTTGGGCAGATAAAAAAAGATTAAAAAAACCCCAAACCCATGGATGTGGAGTTCAGCATTCACTAACCAGTTACTGGGGTAGTACAGGGAACTGTATACTTGCCCAGCTAGTGGCCACAATGGGATGTAGAAGGGATGTGATGGACAGAAGACAGCAGACATGCATACTGACAAACCTTCTAAGGCACCAATTGTTTTGAGCTAAATGGGACTCCCATCAGTGCTTCTGCTCTGGAGAGCAGTAGCCCCAGAGATCTTAGGGTTGAGGACAGTTAGCAAGATAAGCAACAATGCCAACCATTTCACCATTGAAGATCTTCCTTTGACACATCCAGAGCCCTTGAGCAGCCCATTGCACCTCCACACCAAATACCTCAAATCAGAGCCATGCAGTCCATTGCAACGTGGCTGAAAGCACAACAGAGCCAGTCGCAGCAGATGCTGCATCAAGCAAAACCTTCATCTTGACATGCATGACAGACCACTTGTTAACCACACAGAAAAGAACCAGAGCACAGCCCTATCTGTATCACCTAGGCTAAACATCTCCAGCACAAGTAAAACATCTGCTATCCAGAGTACAACTGGAAATGATAGCAGAAACATCACCTGAAGGTGAACATCTTTTTCTCAAAGTCTAGCTCCACTCAAATATTTGAGTGATGCAGCTACTTTTGGAATGGGGAGGAGAGGAAGTTTATGAAGATTTTTTTCTTGCAGCTCTGAAGGTTGTCATGTGACTTGTGAACACAAAACTATTCAAAACACATGAACAATTTAATAGAAGGAACTTCAGTTTTGTTGTGAGTTCTTAATGTTTAAAAGTTCTTAACGTTAAGTTTAACTCTTTCAATTTGGAAACAAAACTATTCAAAACACATGAACAATTTAATAGAAGGAACTTCAGTTTTGTTGTGAGTTCTTAAAGTTAATGTTTAAAAGTTCTTAATGTTAAGTTTAACTCTTTAAATTTGGAATATTTCAGGATTCTACGCTTAATTATTTGTTTAGCATTGTGATTTTCCAGAATGTTGTCAATTTGAGGATAGTCTCTCCAGAAAGGAGGATGTGCTGAATCCAGTCAACTGCTTTAGAAGATTAGTATTCAGACACTGTGCTAAAATGTTACTGTCTTGTGGTGCATTAATATCTGACCAGAAGAATTCAACATAATTTTAAAAGCCATAATACAGTACAAATAATTTATGTAAAAAAAGGGACACATTTAGGAGAATATTTAGGCAGAATATAATAGTTCAAAATTGGACATTGCAAACTAGACAGTGAAGTGTTTTTGCAAAAACCTTGGCTATTGACTAAGGAAAAAACAATGACTTAGTAGATTGTAATTGTATCAACAGACTCGGAAAATACCATAAATCACACATGGAGAATAGAAAATTCTTTTCAGAAGCAATCATCCCCAAAGAGACAAATGTATACATTTTAAGGTTTTTTTTTTCCCCAATTTATGTTTGATAGAAAGCAAAATCCAAGAAATATGCTCTACTACATCATTTTTCAGCTCCACATATCTCCACAAAGTGGCTGAGGGTATGTATATCATAGGCCCTTAACTATTGCAGGAAAAAACAAAACAAAACAAAACAAAAATGTTACACACAAGTCTTGAAAAAATATTTTTTTTCTTAAGAGAGACTAAACATTTTGCTTTCATTATTTTGTTATTATTTGATATTTTGATATGTTCTACATATTTTATTTCACAGCTCAAATTCATTCTGGACTGATGCTAGTTTCCACAAGACAAAGTCTGCAGAAAGGCTGGATAGGTGCCAAGGCTGGCATAAGGTGAGGAAAGAGTATGCCAGCTGAGGTAAACTCCTCTCCCACTCCTGTTCCAAGCCCTTGCAACCCAAAAATCCTCAAATGCAATGGCAGTGACTACACAGAAATGTCTGTCAGCAGAAGCACTGTCTCAGATGCATTAAATGATATGTTTGTATAGAAATTAAACTGAAACTTGACTATGCCATACCAAAACCAGGGAAGAAATACTAAATTGTCCTCGTGGTTGGAGGAGCAAATCTCTATGATTTCATTTTAAAATCCTACTTTGACTTATAACTGATGAATTTTCGTAACAGTAAGCCTTTAAGGTATTCCAAAATAAAAATGCTGTTAAAATAACATACTTTAAATGATTATGTCTTTAATCCAGCAAACCGAAAATTACAGGCTTGGCATTATCTAGTAAATAAAACATTAAATTTCAAAATACTACCAAGTATATATGCAATAATACATTTTCTTCTTTAGTAACCTATTTTTCCTCTTAAACAAGATCATTACATTTACCTCTTAGTAGCCTTCTTCAGAAGCTTTTTTATTTCATTAGTCTTACAGGTGTGCTTCCCATGGATAACCACAAACACACTGCAGCCTTCTGGTGGAGGTTCATCAGCTGCAATCTAATATTTCAACAATTATACTCAACCAGAATGCTTTGATTGCACTTCAACTTAAACTCACATCCCCTTGATTAAAACAAACTCAACAGCTGCCATTGAGTTGTGTTTCTAATTAAGCCATTCAAAATTTGGTACATGTGAAAATATTAGAAGATGAAGACATTATAACCTTTGTGAGATTTAGTCTATCAAATGCAGTCATACTGCAGAAACTTCAACTCCCCTGATGTTCTGTAAAGACAGGGCTGAGAAACCTCCTCCACGAGCTGAAATCACAGCCTTTACTCTGAGACATTTTTAATTTTAGTTGCTGTCAGCAATCATGTTAATGTACAAAGATTTGACTGCTAACTAATAAATCCGAAAGAATTAACATCAATTTTTCGTTCTTTCACCATCCCACTCCCCCAACTTTAAAAAACAAAAAAAAAAACCAAAAAAAAACCAAAAAAAACCAAAAAAAAAAAAAAAAAAAAAAAAAAATAACCCAAAAAAAAAAAAAAAAAAAAAAAAAAATAACCCAAAAAAAAAAAAAAAAAAAAAAAAAAACCACTTCCATTCAGCTATTCCCATGTAAAGTGGGAATCATGTGACTGCATGTCAAGGACTCTGGATTCACAAGCTTAAATATAAAAACGAAAAGATATGAGTCTGAGATGATATTCCTCCAGAGAACACTGGTAAAAGCCTCTAACTTTATTCACAGCTGATTATCATTCAGAAACATGGATTTCTCACTTTATCTGTGAGGTGGCACTGCTAAAAGGAGGAGGAGGAGCAGTTTTAGGCTATCGACAGAATTTACATCTTCTCACTTTCATTAACAAAATTGATATTTGACTATTCTATTTTTCAACTTTTTGAATACTAAAATAATGAGAAAGCTGAGAAGTCTACTAAATAAGATAAGATCTTTTCCAACCTAGATGATTCTGTGATTCTATGAATAAATGACTTGAAGCTACAGGAAATTTCCTACTCTGGGAATGTCTGAACTCCCGTAGGATTATTTAATGCAATGCAAAAAAAAACCCACAACATGAGATTTGTAAATGAACAATTTCAAAAATCCTACCCTGAAAATAATCCTATCAATAAAATTAAACATGAATATTTGTTCCTGTGAATATAACCATCTTATAAAGCATCATCAGCTTTATAAATGGATCATGTCTGATTGCAAACATCCACATACATATAATAATGAACATACTTTGCAGCCAAAATACAATGTAAAGCCATGCACCAAACGTATCAGATAATACAGTCACCTGCTGAAACATCTGAATAGTTGGAGAATATGCCCGTATGGAAAGCGCAAACTTCAACAGATTTACTTGCAAATTGGATAAAAATTGTCCTGCTTTCTTCAAGATTAAATTGTAGTACGAATACTCTGAATCTGTTGAAGAGAAAAAAAAAAAGAGGCAAACTTTCAGTATTTAGTCATAAATGATGTGGCATATCTACCTCTGCTACATAACAGGCAAATATTATGTTAACACTGCTTGGCAGTTCAAAAGCCTTCAATGTTGTCCAGTGATAATTGTTTCCTTCACTACCAATTCTAAAGGCCTAATGCAACTTAAACGAAAGTGAGTGCAATAGCACTAATTAACATCTAAATAGTTTCCAGCGATGCTGAAATTCACTCAGTAACATCTCTTCGAACACACAGAAAGTACTGAATAGAGCTTTTACATTTATTTCTGTTTGTCAAGTATATGTTAGCTTTTTAACACAAATTTTGAAGGTTACTTACATGCAACCAGTACTATTTTACAAACTATTTCTTCACATTTAGTCTTGGAACGCTCCAACTAGGCAACTTAAATAAAAATCTTGTAAATGTGACATTCTTTGGGCTACTCTTGCATATCTTGTTTCTTCCTTAAAGATACTTCAGAGTATGAGAATGGATGCACTAGACGAAGTGGTTTTGCCCCTCCCTGCAAATCTCACCTTCTCAAGTCTAAAATTAGGACTTCACGTAAGAAGAAAGGTAGATGATGTCTGGGAATGACAGAAGTAATAACAAAGAACACAGGTTGGAAATGATTAACCTTCATTTTTTTCTTCTAGAGGCATATTCAAGTGAATATTCTCATGCTGTCCTTGGACTGTAAGGCAAGAAAGCCTAATCAGAAACAAGTTCTATTATCAAGTTGTGAAAAAAACCAGTATGTGTTTAAGGAATTGTGATTTAATCCCAGCGAGCAACTCAAGACCATGCAGCTGATTGCCCACTCCTCCACCCCTGGTGGCCTGAGAAGCAGAATCAGAGAAGCAGTGTAACTTGTGGGTTGTGATAAGAACAATTTAATAATTTCAATAATGATACTGAAAAGGAACGTTAATGTTACATAAGGAGGCTAACAAAAGGAGAGAGAAATAAACCCCAAGAAAGACAAGTGATGCACAATGCAACTGCTCAGCATTGGCTGACCAATGCCCAGGTGGTCCCCAAGCAGCAAGCTGCCCACCCCTCAGTCAAGTGCCCCCAGTTTATACACTGAGCACGATGTTCCGTGTTATGGAATAACCCTTTGGTTGGTTCAGGTCAGCTGTCCTCACCATGCTCCCTCCCAATTTCTTGTGCGCCTCCTCTGCTGGCAGAGCACCAGAAATTTAAAAGTCCTTAACTTGGGCTAAGCACTCCTTGGCAAAAACTAAATCATCAGCATGTTACTGACATTGTTCTCACACCAAATCCAAAACACAGTACATGTTATTCAAATATTCTCCTACAATAGTGAAAATGTGCAGCAAAAGCAGAGTGAGTTGTTGATAGGAATCATTCTAGCTGTCCAGTTTGACTTTCTGTGTTCTTAGGTCAACACCATACTTTAAAGGTGCTCTTCCTGTGAGAGTGGAATGATTGTCCCAGTAGGAAACCACTTTAGGGGTCCAAAGTAGAACCAAGGTTTTACAGTGTGAAAACCACCTCGTGATTTAACCTGCCAGATTTTACCTGCCCCAGCTGCAGTAGATCTCATAAGTACATGTATCAAAAGACAACACAACAATCAAATTTCTATTCCCTCAGCACAGTCCGGGTTCCAGTAAAACATTAGACTATATACAATAGCCCTGCAAGCCATAGTTTTGGAAATACCCATCAACTGCTCCCAGCAGTTCTGTAAACATTTTTGTAACTAAGTACTTCCATCCTCTCAGTTCCCTCTTCACAACCCCGAACCTCCTTTTCTTCTTAAAGCTTCTAGGATCTCCTTTCCCACTTTTCTGCACTTTTAAAAACTAATTATTTAAAAAGGCTGAGTTTGCTGTAATTGTAATTCACTAAAAAAAAAAAAAAAAAAATCTAAGATTACAAAAGTGCATATGATCTGCATTTCCAGGAAGCTGCCTTCCCATAAATTGTATATGATCATGTCTAACATTAGATTCAACGGATTAAAAACTCATCTCATATATGTTTTCTAGACCTACACATAACTCAGTCAGAACTCAAGTTATATAAATTTGGCTTCACACATTCTAAGCAGTGAATGTAAAAAAATTTGGAAGTGGCAAAGACTTCCAGATTGAAAAGTCTTTCCAATAACTATAGTTTTAAATTTTCTTCAAATTATCTCCACAAAAATAAAAATTAGGTCTGAAATATCTGCCTCTCTACTCAACCCCAAATAACATCCTACTGAACACAAAGAAGAGTTATTAAACATACAGTCCTAAAGATACTACCTTAAAATATTTTTACCCCAAGTCTTTAAATTCTTCGGCTTACAAATTCCAGCTGTGCATGGACTGCTGCAATAAAGCAGCTAACATTTTTGCTCTGGAAGATGATTACAACAACGATGACTTTAATAAGTAGAAAAAAAAGATTAAAAAAAAAAAGATTTGTCATGCTATCAAAAGTGATAGTACAACATACTGACAAGGTTATACTTATTAAGTCATGCATCCACTCCTACTGCTTCAGCTTATATTAGCACTGCTGGCTTCATTCAGATTACAACTGTGCTTTAAATTTTTGCAAGACACATTAATCCACATCAAATGCTATATGACCCACCTAATGCAGAAACATTTTTTAAAAGTTTAATACACACAGAGGTATGGTTTCAGTTTCAGAAATTATTTTCACATAATACTGCTCCTTGAAACTTGGTAACTACTTGCCCTCTAGGCACCTTTAAACACTGCACCCTAAGCCAAAGAGTCAAAGTCATAATAAATTTCTTAGGATGTTAAAGGGAACCATGGAGAAACAGATGCTTCTGGTCATAAAATGCTGAATAATAGCATATTACCACTAAATTCACTAACAAAGTTGATTTTAAAATAAATGGGATAAAAATAAGTAAATGGGATACAGCTCCGTATTTCAGCCATCTGAACGCATGTGTATGAGCTACATTTCTGTAAACCTCCATTCTAGACAAGAGAGATACAACCCAGCAGCCAATAAAACCTGAAAAACTATTTATCTTACTCTAAAGATCCCTAAAGTTGCCAGCTGAAGAGCTCTCTCAACTCCTGTAGCCAAAATGATCAGATTGACTACAATGAGAACTGAGCAGCTACCTCAGCAGACTCGTATTTAAACATCCACACTGACTACCCACAATCTACAGCAGCATCTCACATCCCAGGTAGATTAAAAACAACTACAGAACAATCACAAAAGGAAAAGTAAAGGTCTGTATCACAGTTCCTCAGATCCCACACACAGGCACAAGATGCATGTAAACTCATCATATGCTGGTGGCCCACAGGAGAATTCAAGGTAATGAGGCACAGGAGGTAGGGAGAGTAAACATAAGGGATGTAATTAGTCAGAAGAGGACAGGGTGATGAGCTCATTATTTTGAGGGATGGGAGTATGGGGATTGTTCCAACTGCACAGAGGTGTGTATCTGTATCTACAGACCAGCTGGGGAATTAGAGAACAGCAGTTCAAGCAGTCACTGGCCACTCAAATTCCTATGACATTCAAGCAAGAATCCAGTAGAGAGGGAACACTATTTTGTTGCATGATTGTTATGAAAGTGCCATACTTGTGAAATTGATTCCTCTCCATCTTCAAGGTTGATACCTATGTAAAAAATACTGATCTAATTTAGTTGTGAATAATGTGTACTCTTCTAAATGAGAACAAATAATTTGCATGATTGTTGTTTATATGTAATATATGGCCATATTATTTTCAGAGAAAATAGCCTCCCTATTAACACATTACTGTGGTTTGTTTTGTTTTGTTTTTTTTTTTCTAAAGTATGTATTTAAAAGGTTGCTGAAAATTCAATATATAAAATGAACCACTTGGGAAGACAGTAAACACTCAAGTTGTAATTAGCTGGCAGGGAACTAGCTACTTAGCTTCACTCTGTATTCCTAAATTAACCTTTGGAGATATAAAAGCAGCAGCAAGTTTAAAATGCAGTCTTCTGTGTTTTGTAACTGTGCTGTTTTAAACACTAAATTTTTGCAGCTTTCATTTCTTTGTAACATACATGCAACCCAAAAGAGCATAACTTGCATTTTCAAATCTTCCACAAGTCTGGCAGCAAGTAGGCTGCATATTAAGTAGCCATGCACAACACTGTCCATGGTGCCTGAAGACCTCACTTTAACTAGACAGTGTGTCCCATCGATGGTTTTCATAGGGTGTAATCCCAATGATGCCTATGTTTACTTGAGTTCGTATTAAAGAAATTGCTAAAACAACCAAGTACATCATCAGACTAAATGTTTTACCAAATTCCACATACATTGTTCCTACCAAATCCACTAAATTGCCACATATATCATAGCTGAACAGACTACTACTAGACCTAATATTTTAAATGAGCAATTTAACAACAGACGTTGATTTGGCTATTCTAAATTTAAAATAACAAGTTTTGAGAACTGATAAGCAATGGATTGGAAAACATCCAAGCGGTGATGTAAAAGAAAAAAGCCAAAATTTTATTTTTTTAAGTTACCTTTTAACTTTAATATTTCATGATTTTTCTGAAACACTCAACAGTAGGCTGAGATTCAAATCTACCATCCAATTCCCCCACAAGCCTAGCTTTTCAGCTTCAATTCTGCTACTTCTGTAGCTTCTATGAAAATATTTCTATGTAAAAATAATGCTTTTATTTCCCAGTTATGTATCCTATCTACTCTTGATATCATCCAGAGCAGAAGCATAAAGTCAGTTACCCCAACCAATCCTTTTTAAGCCAGATGCTTTGATTTGCTCAAGTAGTTATTTTCCCCATCAGCCTTAATGCATCACCAACATCCCTCTCTGTCAATGTCTTGACATGCAACAGCTAAGACGGAATCCCCTTTCCACACCATCCAGAGAACCAACTTCTCCTCAAAGGTACACTATTAGACACCTCTCAGTAACTGTGTCACTCCATATTTCAGCATCAGTATTCTTTACTGTAACTGATCATTTTATTGTAGCTGTCTAATGCAGAACTCTCTACTGAAAGTGGCTCATCTTTGCCTGGATACGTACAATGCTCATAACATATCTATTTAATTTTCAGTATATTGTCTTTAGTAAGACACTCCAAGTTGGAAGAATCAATATTGATGTGGTTTTGTCACTAAATAACTACTTTTCCTCTAAACCCAGATCTTTCCTTCTCCTCCTATTCATAGAGTTGAATATCACACAACTATAATCCCAGTTCTTTGTACATCTTCTGGTTCTACTACAGCCTTTCTAAAGGGATGACGAGGAAAACACAGGGAGACAGTGAAGCAGAGCATCATGCTTTGCTAAACACAAAAGCATATTGTGGAATCATAAGCAGAAAAATGTTATTTACCTTGTGGGTCCCTGCCCCTTTGCTAGTAATTTTTTAGGTCTATCAGCTCCTTTGGGCATTTCTGAGCACTCAAATAAGTCTCACTGACCTGTCCACATGGACACCACAATCTCTTTTTGACTTGTCTTTAGTCAGTCACAATTGTTGAAGCATGCTGTTTCTTAAGTTCTCTCTCCCATACACAGCATTTTCCACATAACAAGGATTCATTTCTGTCATCTCACACCCACTCTGCCTGCATGATCTTCCTAGAATTTGGGAGCTTTTGACGGTTAATGCAACATTCAGTTTATCTGGAGTCTCTTCTAGCAATATGTTATGACTGTGTTCTGCCAATGACCAGGCCCAACAAAAATGATACCACCACCAGCAGGAAGATGAACCAATACACAGACTGTATTGTATACAAGAAGGACATTCCATGAATGATTGCTGGGGGTACAAACAGATCAATCAGCTGGTACATAATTGACGCCACCCCCAACGATCCCACAAAGGACGTGACTCGTCCCACAACAGGTGGTACAAACAGAGACCCGAGGTTGCCCACAGTTGGCATGGGAAACAGCCAGACCAGAGAGCTGAACATATAAGAGAAAGGTGCCCACATGGTGCCTCTCACCCGATCAGCCCACGTTCCCTGAACCAGGAAGCTCTGGGGAGTGCACTCCACAGACAGACACTCCTGACTCCCTGCAAGTGGTCCCAGCTTTTATCCCCAAGCAGACCCCTGACCTTTGTCAGCTCAGTGCGGGACCCCTGGGGCTCATTTCCCTTCTGGCTCTCCCTGCAGGGCCGGCCGCACCCTGGGGGGAAGCTATAAGGCAAACTCACCCCCTCTGTACGAAGGGCTGTGGGAATCACCCATATGTCAACCTTAATTCAGGGCTCGGGGTTCAAACCCCAGCATTTCAGCCTGCACACTCATGCCTAAAGAACTGCCCCATTCTGAAATAAAGAGCAAAATGAAACTCTCGCCTTATTTTGAAGCTTTTTTCATCTTGTTCATTTATTGACCTACCAAGGAGGTCCAATATTGACCAATCTGTTGTAAAGCCTGGTACCTTTCCAAAGTTTTCATTACCAGGGTAATTTCTAGCAAACTGCTCTCCAAGGTATCTTCTAGGGTTGCTCACTTTTATGCTTCATTTGCTGAATTTGATGCTTTGTTCTTCTCTCCAAACATCTAGCAATATTATTCTGTCTAACCGGGGGGGTTTATATTTATTTTTACAATTATAAACATTTATTCTAAAACATCAATGTGGCTGCTAGAAGACAGTCTTTAGGCCAACACAAGTACTAAAAATGAAAAGAATGACCCAAAACTTTTTTTCCTTTAGTTAGCATTCCCATTTTAGTTATTTGTGGGATCCTCTCCCCTACAAACATGCATCTTAGACAAAACATGAAGTCTGAATATCCCATAAGCTCCTGATGAGTCACATAAGAAGGTACCTTTAATCTTTACACTTCTGTCCCACATTGTGACAGCAGTTCAGTCTGTCTCATCTACCTGCTTTTAGAACTCTTCTACAGGTGGAGCTCTCAGGGGAACACACTCTACTACCTTCTGAAAGAAAACTACCTAGAAAGCAACAGTGGAAGGCTTTACCTGACAGGAACTAGTTAACATGTTAGCTTGATGGTTAAAAGTGAAACACAGTGCAAACTGATATATTAAAAGCAGTATGCCATTTAACTTACCTCCTTGCTTATACACTGTTAATTCTCGTACCGTTTCCAAGAACTGCCAAAACTTCTCATTACCATCTTCTGCAATAAATTCACTGTTTAAAAATAAAAATGAATTGGCCATAGGTTGACTCTATCCAAAAATGTACCACAGTAAAAATCTTCAGTTGTTTCAAGCAACAAATACCCAGCAACAACAAAGTGTTAAGTACTCAATGCCCATTTAACATCTTTGTAGCATGAAACACTGACCAGTGGTATATTTTGGTTAAAAGAAATTTTGAACATCATAATACCAATCTGAACTCAGTAATTGGAACTGTAAAGCAAGCAGAGTATTCCCTGATATGGAAATAAAGTGAAAAACTGTGTTCATTTTTCCATCAGTACTTCAATATTTGGTTACATATAAAAATAAAATCAATTCATCACACAAACTGTATTTCAGAGTTGCTAAATATACAAGTAAGAACACACAGTCTGTCAGGTTATATTTTTTAATTAAATTACAGGCTTTTAGTGATCACTATGTCTACTTTGCTATGTAGGGAATGTCCCTAGTCTCTGGAACACTTTCAAAGATGGGTTAATCCTTATGAAGCATAAAAGGTAAGGTTTGCTTTATTCCATACACCGTTATTCCACTTACTGGTAAAATTTTTTAGTTTTGTAGGTTTTCTTACAGGAACATCAGTTGCTTTTTTCCCCCCTCCCTTACGTCTGCCAGAAAGATCTATTCAGTAGTATGAGCATAGTTCTCCAATCTTTACTTTGGAAGTTTGCCACTCCTTTGATTACAGAACCTTGCAATTCTCCCTTTCGTGGGAGTTCTCCAAGCAGCAGCAGCAAGTAAGTTTAAGAACAACAAAACTTTAAACCAAACTGGCAGGGGAGCCACAAACATGTAACACTGGAAAATGTTTTCACTTCCTATTTGGAAAAGATGATGATGAGCTAAAAACACCATTTAAAACAGAAAAAAAAGGACGTGTTCTACTACTACAGTGTCACGACTTCACTAATAACTTTATACCCAACTCTTTCATTCACAAGGGTAAGTAAACTGGCTGGGGTGAGATGTGAATGGAAAGTCTAGACTGTAGGTTGGCCCACTGCACCTCCTCAACCTAATCTACAAAACGCCTTAGTAAGTTAAATACAAAGCCATTTAACACACCTATAAGGTGAGAAAGCCGGTCAGCACTATCCAGAACATCCTACAACGGGAGAAAACCGCTAAGCCTTACGCCAAAGGAGCAGCTTCAACACGCTGTGGCAG